GCCCTCTGCAAGGATCCTAAGGTGATCTAGGGCTAGTTCCACCTAGTAGAGAATACTAAAGCTAAGTATGGTATCCTGGATGAAGACACCTACAACTTTAACGAGTCTGGGTTCATGATGGGCGTCATATCAACAGGAGCTGTTGTCACAGGCTCTGAGCGTTGAGGAAGGCCAAAGACAGTACAGCAGGGCGACCAAGAGTGGACCAGCATTATCTAGGGCATCAACGCGTCAGGGTGGAGTATCCCACCTTTTGTCATCTTCTAAGGCAAGCACCACCTCTCTGCTTGGTACAAGGAGCTATCTATACCTCACAACTGGGTCATTACTGTCTCTAAGAACAGCTGGACCAACAATGAGCTTGGCATCAAGTGGCTGAAGCACTTTGATGAGCACACAAAGGAGCGCACTGTTAGCAGCCATCGGCTGCTCATTCTGGACGGCCATGAGAGCCACAACTTAGTCAAGTTCCACCAGTACTGTGAGGAACACAAGATCATCACTCTGTGTATGCCTCCTCACTCGTCGCACCTATTGCAGCCACTTGACGTGGGTTGTTTTGCCCCAATGAAGAAGGCCTATGGTCGCCAAGCTGAGCTGCTGATGCGCAACAAGATTACTCACATCACAAAACTCAAGTTCTTACTATGCTTTAAAGGAGCTTTTAATGCCTCTATTACTAGGAGCAATATCTAGGGAGGATTTAGAGGTGCTGGCTTGGTCCCCTTTGATCTAGAGGCTGTAATATTAAAGCTTGAAGTGCGCCTGTGTACTCTACCACTACCTACTATAGATAAGAGTACGTGGCACTCTCAAACCCTACAGAACACCCTAGAATTTAGGTCGCAATCAAAGCTAATTTAAGAGAGGATCTAGCAACATAGGGATAGCTTACTAACTTTAATAGTTAATGCCCTTAATTAGCTCACCAAAGGCGCAGAGATGATGGCGCATTCACTAGTTTTAGTGCGCAACTAGGTCGCAGAGCTTCAAGCTGCCAATAAGGCCGCCACACGCCGTAAATTACACAAGAGGAAGCAGATCTAAAAGGAGGGGGCTCTCACTGTTAGTGAAGGTGTGCGCTTAACTACCCTAAAGGAGTTTGAAGCCCGTGGCGATGGGAAGAAGGCAAGCAAGAGGAGGCGCGTTCAACTAAGTACACAGTCTTCACGACGCTGTAGCAAGTATGGTGAGACAGGGCACAACGCGCGAACGTGCAAGAATAACGTGTAAGGTATTTCTAAATAATTTAGTGTACTATAGCCTGCAGTAGGACCTAAGTTGCTACTATAGTGTTGTAAGTTGTGTGAAGTTGGGTGTGGTCTTGGCAAAAGTGAGCGGCTCGCTTGGGTGAGCGGCTCGCTTGTGGAGTACGTTAGAGGAAAATTACATCTTTAATAACTAGACCTAAAGTCCTAGATTAGCTATCTAGTAGGCTACTAGTTATTAAATATCTATTAAATCTAGATACTATTACTTAGTAAGGTAATAAGCACTTAAGATATTATATTTAATAAAGATATAGTATTTAATAGGAGAATTAAGGACGTTATAGAGAACCTTATATATAACACACTTAAAGAAATCACAACACATATATAATCTATTAAGCTACTAACACCTACCTAGTAACTAGAAATAGATTCCTTTTATAAGGATAAAGCCCTAGCAGAGCTATTACTATAAGACAAAGCAGACCTGCTAGGCTACTATTACAGACAGAAGATACAGGATAGCTATCCTACCCCTCTATCAACACCACTACCTGCAGTACTACTTGCAGGCATTAAAGCTAGTAATTAAACAACTCTAACACAACAAGCGTCCTTAACTACTGTCCTGTAGGCAGCATTATTCCTTGCAGGAACCTAAGCTAGATGTGTTAGAACATACAGAGGAGAAGTTATAGATAAGGCTAAGATAATAAGAATACTTACTAAAGGCTTAAAGCCCTATTAAAGTTAACTTCTACCTCTACCTATATTCTAAACTAAGCTTAAGGGTTACCCTATAGGTAAACTCTTTTAAGAAGCTAAGTAAGAGCACCTTACAAGCTACTAAGAAATAAAATTATAGTTAGAAGTACTACTTTAGAAAATTAGACTAATAGGACAATAGATTCTTAACTATATATAGGTATATACCTATAAGCATAATAGATATTATTAACTGCTAAAGTGTAAGGTGCAACTAGTAGTTAGAGGCAATTAATAACGCAATATTACATTAGAAGACACCTACGCAGCTACGCTTGCTAGCTAATCCTTTTAAATAATAATAGCTATAGCAGCTTACTATAACATAGATCTTAAATAATACAACATTACTAACATGTTTGTTTATGCTATAATAGACAGAGAGGTCTACATAAGGATGCACTAAGGCTATTAGAAGCCTAGCATAATACTGTAAGTAAACAAGGGACTTTACAGCCTACACATCTCTCCCCTCCTCTAGCAGAGGAACTTCACTATAATACTAAGAGCACTAGGTTTCTAGACTATACCTTATAAACCTAGCTGTCTAATTAAGGGTAGTATTATTATCTTCTTTTATATTAATAATGTTATCCTTAAGTTATATATAATAAATTAAAAGGGTAAGAGGCACTATAGACAATAAGCTACGTACAGAGTAAGTACACCTGCACAGGAGGGCACAACCTACAGTAGTTCCTTAGTATAGAGATTATATAAGATTAAGTAAGCAAGAAAATCTACCTATCTTAGGCAGTGTACTTAGACAAAATTAGTTGCTTTGCTAAGAACACAACTATACAACATAACACTCTAATAGCAATAACTAAACTACAGCTAAGGAGCAGACTAGCAGCGCTAGCAGAAATTAATAAGTATTAGCGCAAAATTAGATCACTGCTGCTCGCTGTGGTTACCACGCGACCTGATATTGCGTTCGCCACATCAAGACTTGCCTAGTTCCTTACTAATCTAGGCATCAGCCACTAAGATGCTGCGGACTAGGTCCTTCTATATCTATTTAACACTAAACAGCGATTACTGCAGCTTAGAGGAGGCATTAGCCTCTAGGTAGCAAGTAACGCGTCTTTTGCTAACAACACTATAGACAGAAAGAGCTCCTAAGGCTACGCAATTAAACTCTTTAGCAGCTTTATTGCAAAGAAAGTAAACAAGCAGGACATAGTAATAATATTAATAACTAAGCCTTAGCTTCTTACTCTCACCTAGGGTGTAAAAGAAGCACTCTTTATCTTAAGGCTCTTACGCAAACTACACATTAATATAGGCGTACACAGTATTATAATATAATGTAATAACAAGTAAATAATTTAACTAGTTACTAAGGAAGTGTTATAACTACATACTAAACTTCAGCATGTAAATATCTATAACTACTAGCTCTAACAGGAGGTGGCCGCTAGAAAGATTATTATAGAACACGTCTAGGCTTTGCGCTGTGCTCTCTTAGCAGTTTATCTGCCATATCTTGTATGTCTGCCTTTAAGGAGGGTAGGCTACGCGCAGACTCCTTAAGTATACGTAGTACAACTGTCTCCTCTTCTGGCTTGGTAAGGCGCTTTGCATTTAGCTCGCAGTCGTGTTAAGAGCGTGTTCTGTTGTGTTAGCATTAGATTGTTTATTTAGGTACTTTATAGACTCTTTTAGCATGTTAGATAATTTAAATTTAGTTTCTTAAGATATTAGATATAGCAAGCTGTACATCAGCTTCAGTATAGAGTGTAGGAGCTTGTTTTGGTTAAGATATTACGCGCTGTTGTTGCGCCGGCGTTCTGGCAGCGAGAGTGCGGCGCTCGGTTGGGTGCGGCGCTCGCTTGTGAAACACGTTACTGCTAGAATTTAAGAGAGTTACAGCTCTTATTACTATTATTAATAATAAGTAGATAGTAGCCGCTAACGGTACCCTCCTTTGTATGCTTATTAGAGAGCTCTATCTAGTCTAGAATAAGCTTATTAGTGGTCTAGCTGTTATTAAAGACTCTAATAACCTAGTCTTAGGGCAGATCCTTATCTTTGTACTAGACAGAGAGGTAACGTACTCCACAAGCGAGCCGGTCATTTTTGCCAAGACCACGCCAAACCTCACTCTACCTTTAATGTCTTAACGCAACAACACAAAAAAGCCTCTAAATAAGGCTAATTTACAGCTTGCCTTACAGGCTATCCAAAAAGACGCAACAATCTTCTAGCAACACACTGCTGCAGTCTACAATGTGTCTTAAAGCGCCCTAAGTAACTAACTTGCTAGAACTACTTTATAACACAATTGCAAGCCTAATATAATTACGCTAGCTAGTACTAAGGAGTAGGTAATTGTCTAGCACGTACTAAAGCTAGATAAGCAAGGCTTCTCGCCCTGGCTTGCTGATGTAGAGGACATGGCTAATTCTCTACTTACTAAGCGCTACTAGACCCCTATTAGCAAGAACTAGGCTGCTAACTTTATTAAATATTAGGTAGACCTTAGAGTTAAGTTTAATTAAAAGTATAACTACAAGAGCGCCTTTTATAAGGATACTAAGGTAATAGGAGACTATTTTTACCTAGTAGAGAATACTAAAGCTAAGTATAGTATCTAGGATAAAGACACCTAGAACTTTAATATATCTAGCTTTATAATAGGTGTTATATCTATAGGAGCTGTTGTTACAGGATGTAAGTGTTAAGGGAGACTAAATATAGTGTAGTAGGGCAACTAGGAGTAGACTAGTATTATCTAGGGTATTAAGACAAAGGGCTAGTCTATCCCCCCCTTTATTATCTTCTCTAGTAAGTACTACCTCTCTGCCTAGTATAAAGAGACTAGTATACCTAACAACTAGGTTCTTAATATCTCTAACAAAAGCTAGACACATAATAAGCTTAGAGTAAAGTAGTTAAAGCACTTTAATAAGCATATAAAGGCGCACACTATTAGCAGCTATTAGCTACTTATCCTAGACAGCTATAAGAGCTACAACTTAGCTACATTCTACTAGTACTGTAAGGAGGATAAGATTATCACTCTGTGCATGCCTCTACACTTGTTACACTTACTATATCTACTTAATATAGGATGTTTCTCCCTATTAAAGAAGGCCTATAGCTGCTAAGCTAAGAGGCTAATGTTTAGCAAGATTACGCACATTACTAAACTTAAGTTTTTGCTATGCTTTAAAGCAGCTTTTAACGCCTTAATTATAAAAAGCAATATCTAGGGAGGATTTAGAGGCGCTAGCCTAGTCCTAATTAACCTAGAGGCTGTAATATTCAAGCTTAATATATACTTGTGTACTCTACTACTACCCCCTATAGATAAGAGTACCTAAGAGTCTAAAATACTAAGCAACACTGTAGGGTTTAGGACTTAATTAAAGCTAATTTAAGAGAGGATTTCAAGACACACTAGTAGCTTACTAATATTAATAGTTAATACTCTTAATTAGCTCACTAAAGGCACAGAGCTATTAGCATATTTACTAGTTTTAGTATATAACTAGGTTACTAACCTATAGGCAGCTAATAAGGCTACTATATATTATAAATTATATAAAAGAAAGTAAATTTAGAATAAAGGGACACTAATATTTAGTAAGGGAGTATAGGTAACTACTCTAGAGAAGTTTAAGGCCTGTAGTAATAGGAAGAAGCTAAAGAAGAGA